AATCAGCTCTCATGATACTTCAACTTGAAAGGGACTTCTAAATGTTGTTAAGTAGAGAGGGGAATGTGGCCGAGTGCTCCGTGCATCAAACTGCGCATTGGTATTTACCTTCTATGTACTAACTTCCTCTCCATTAAAAGAAGACATGCTCCTTATCGCTTAGTCCTGATAAACCTTACAGCTGATTCTCACTTGCGACGGAGACGGAGTCGGATTTGTAATCATAAGCAAAGAGCGATACGATCAAGTGAAAATCAAACCGACAGAATCAGAAGAAAAATACCGTTATCACTTACGACTCCGTCGCTTACGATCCTTTGAAGAATTGGCAGAGTCGTAGGAGGAAGACTGTACTGGAAGGGCCTGAGAACTGGCATGTGATTGGTTGTTTTTCCCGATCCTACTCGCGACTGTGACAATCTAGTTTTCACCACGGAGAAAATGAAACCGTTCTGATTCTTCTGAGTCCAGTTCTGTCGAGCTTATGACTCTGCTTATGATTCTGATTTTCAGTTTTCAATCGCTCGGAAGTGCTCTTACAACCCTGACTACGACTCCGACTCGGACTCTAACTCCGTCGCCAGTGAAAACCAGCCTTTAGTAAGAGCACTCTTAAGTAGCGACCAAGTAACATGGACAACAAGAAATGAAGAAGCATGTGTAAAATGGATTGCAAATGGAGAAAACGTGAGGCTAAAGCCCGCTTTTTTTTGTTGAGTTTCCCTTACTAACCCACTTTTCCTGTTTTATGTGCTCCCCTCAGTTTTCAAAACTATTTTTACGGGCTCTCAATTTTTTTATATGTTCTCCCAACACATTTTTCACCCATCGCGCAGAATGCCGCGACACATCTTTTTAAGTCCATCGGCGGTAAATTTGAACAGTCCTTCAAGAAAAGAGAGCGAAACAATAGAGAAAATGGCTATAAATCGCCCACTTACGCCTGCGTTTTTCACTCTTAATAAAAAACTAACTGCCTTTAGTTAGCTATTTGCCAGCATATGGATTTTGTAGAAGAGGTTTTAATGAACAAATTTATACTAAAGTTTGTTTTCTGCGGTTTCTA